GGGGGGGGGGGGGGGGCAGCAGGTTTTTTGTTTGGGGATAAGCAGCAAGGTTTTTGTTTTGTTGCTTTCGGTTTTGGTTCGGTTTTTATCGATACCAAACCGATTTTCGGTAACCGATCCTTATCGGTTCGGTTTCGGTATGGGTTTTGGCGAAACCGAACTTAATCGGTTCGGTATCGGTTTTCGGTTATCGGTTCGGTTACCGAACCGATACCACCCCTAGCTAGCCTTGGTGCCTCTATTCTTCAGAGGCGCATTTTTTTACCCGGACGACACTCCTCTCCGCCTCCGCACTCTTGTGCGGATGGATCAAGATGACTACCCTCATTCATATTTCGGTAGCCTTTTTGTATTTTTTGTATGCTTCAGCCTACTTTGTGGTGCAGACTGTTTGCCTATGCACCTGTCAGCCTAGGTCAAGACTCTCCATTTTCGTTTTTGGTTTTTTCTCCTTTTTTTCATTCTGTTTCCATTTGTTGTTCAGACATGAGTAGACTTGTGATTTTTTTTTGTCCCAATTAGGATTTTGAGTATATATGTTGGGGATTTGGTTTTTAATCCCCGATCATTCGGGATGCTTTTCTAAAAAAAAAAAGAATTGGGGTTACCCGTTTACGCCATAAAACCCCAATACCCCGTCGAATTTGGGTAAGGTAAATTATATGTGGGTTGGATTTCAGTTTGCCAAAATTCGCACCCGACCCGACCCGACCCGTTTACATCTCTAATAAAATAAACATGTAATCAAAATTTAATTTTTATTTTAAAAAAAAATTAACTAGACGAGTGACATATTTTTTGTTGGCGATTTAAAGAATGGATTAAAAATAAATCTTAAATTTCACCTTATGATTTCATCATAATAATGATTAATGTACCGAGAAAGGAGTTCATTTTGGAGTGTGCTAATCAGCTCTGTTTTAATGGAGTCGGTGAGAAGAGCAGTGAAGCAAATAGCCCACACCCCTCCCTCTCAATGGCTATCTACGCTCTCTCCTTACCATCTCTCTCTAACCCCTCTTCTCTTTCTGGCGTCCTCTCTCTACTCCGTCGCCATCCGCCTCCGCCGCCAGCTCCACCGCCTCAACATCTTCGAAGAACACCGGTAAATTCCTTTCGTTTTCCCATATAGATGGTCTCTTTATTTCTTGGATCACGTGGTTGAAATGATTCTACAATGGGTTTGAAGGTTGCCGGTGCCGGTGATTAGTGTCGGGAATTTGACGTGGGGAGGCAATGGGAAAACTCCAATGGTGGAATTTTTGGCTCGCTCATTCGCTGGTGACGGAGTTTCGCCACTCGTTCTAACTAGGGCATGTTATTCTACCACTTGAATTTGTTCTTCAAGTTAATTTGCACAACATTATTCTTGAAGTTTTAGTGCAGTTTATCTTTTGAAGATAACAATTGAATATGACAGTTTTTTCTTCTCATCAATAGGGCAGTGTAGAGTAATTACTGGTATCAGTGGGATCTTTGTGTATTTTAGTGGGGTTTTGAAGAATTTTGTAACAATACGTTTCTGTCTTTAGTCATGTGTGATACAATGTGTAAGAATCATTGAGAATGTTAGCTATTTGTTGAAGGAAATATTTTGCACTGTGTTTGTATCTGAAGTTGGTTCATTGAGAATATTTATATACATTATGCAAAAAGCTTTTATTTGAAAAACCGAAATAATTTGATTTTATTCTTAGCTGACATTCGAAATTTCTGAACTATTACAGGGGTATGGTGGTGCAGATGAAGCTAGGATGCTTCAGAGGCAACTCAAAGGAACTTCCTCTAAAGTTGGTGTGGGCGCAAATCGAGTAGCTATTGCCACTAAATTCCTCGAACAATATGGTTACATGAATTTCCATGGTACTTATGATAAACTCTTCTCTGGTGAGAAAATGGAAGTGCAGTCTAATTCTGATCGAGTTGGGGTCGCTATCCTCGATGATGGGATGCAGGTAATAGTTCTAGTTAGGCTCCCGGTAGCTAGGAAAAAATGCAATAACCCGAAATTCTTCTATGAAAGCGTTTATTAGAAAATACTTTGCCAACATTTAGTTGTTTATCAAGATTCCTACACGAATATTCTGAACCTTTTTGCAATCGCTGCATATGCTCTATCTTTGTAGCTTTATATTAATGCCATTTGGGGCTGGTAATCTGAAGTTAAGGCATTCCACTAATTCGTTTGTGTTGTGTACAATTTGGAAAACAGCACCTGAGTGTAATGCGTGATTTAGAGATTGTAATGGTGAACGCACTGATGCCATGGGGAAATCATCTATTAATTCCACTCGGAGCTTTAAGGGAGCCTTTGACTGCACTCAGCCGTGCTGATATTCTAGTCATCCACCATGTGAATTTGGTATCAATGATTAATGACATTTGCTTTCTTTAATCTTATTTACTTTCTGAGAACCTAATGTTTCCAATAATATTTGGAGCAATTATGTAAATTTTCGTTGAAGCCATTACTTGAAAAAGAAATAAAGGCGGAAATGTTAAATAATTTTCTTAGATCACTATTTCTGTCTAATATGTAAGTTCAATTTGTTAAATATAAGCACTTATTTGTGGGTATCGTGTGTGTGATTTGAAGCATAACTGGATCTTTTTGTTCCCTTTTTTTTTTCTTTATCATTAGGCTAAACGTCAAAGACTGTTTTTGTCATCACCATTAATCTCTTGGCACTTACAGCGCATGTCGTGGTTCCACAGAGTCTGATGTACCTATGCCTCACAGGTACCTGAAAATGCTATCGAAACCTTAGAGTCGACAATTCAAAGTGTCAAAAAAGCCCTTCCAATTTTCTTCACTAGAATGACTCCGGTTCACTTCTCCCCATGTCGGAACATTTCCTGTAAAATACCCCTGAAAGCTGTTGAAAATATGGTTGTATTATGCCTTTCAGGCATTGGATGTGCTGATTCTTTCATTCAGAGCATAGAAAGGGTACCTTTTGTCATTGTTTTCTTTTTTCTTTTGTCTTTTTCATTATTTAAACATCTATGTAGCCATATTTTTGTCTTGGTATGGACTGCTACTGCAAAATTTTGCTACATTTTTATCATATTCATTTTTTTTTTGGTTCAAAGAGGTGTCCACTCTTTGCAGATGGGAGCAGCATATGTGGACCACCTGGACTTCAGTGACCACCATTTATTTCAATTGAACGTAAAATTTCCCTTTGGTGTTCCTCTCTAATATCATGTCTCCTAGTGCTCTTAAAACAATTTTAGATTCTGTTGCCATGTCAGGGATTTTTTTAGGGATTTACTTATTTGGTGGATGTTTTTTCCTAGTTTTTAAAGCTTTCTGATATATTTACGGCACCAGGAAATTAAAATGGTACTGGCGAGACTTGAAGCACTTGAAGCCGAGTTTGCCTCCAATCCTGTTGTTATTGTGACTGAAAAGGTGAGCATATCCTAGAGTTAAGTACAAATGTGTCGCGCCTATCTTCTGTCTCAATTACTTGAAAGAATTTACGAACGAAAATGTTTGGTACAAATGCTTCGTGCCTATCTCTGAATGGTTGTGATTATTTTGAGCGTAGGATTATGACAGAGCTCCCAAGGTGCTCGAGCACATGAGTCGTTACCAAGTTTTGGTTCTCTGTAGTCGATTGGAATTTGTGGCGCGTAAAGGTAGCACGGAAGATGGATTCAAAAAGGCGGTGAGAGAGCTTTTGGGCCAAAGGGTCCTTAGTGTAAATAAGAGGTAATATTGATTTCTCTAGTTATTATTATTATTATTTTTTTTTATTTCTTTCAGCCTTTGTTATATCTGACTTGTTCACATCATTAATGTTTTTTGTTTATGTTTATTTAGGCTTTTAAATATTATCCATTTAATTTTTCTCTGATGGGTTATATTCATTCAGAATCTAAAAATTTTCTCTTAAATACCAACTGTTCGTCAAAATAAATGAAGTCATATATTTTTGAGGAAAACTTCTCTATATACATTCGCCAGGGTTTTAGAATAAAATGGGTAAAATGTTACATTTCACAATCTAGGCACCTCGGAGGTGAAATACTAGCATAACCTCTTATATGATGCCGTATAAATGTTACATGTCTCGATTTGTCATGTTGTATGAACAAATATACATATTCATCCATGATAAATTTTTGTTTGAGTCATTTTTTCTTTTTGATCAGTAAATTTACAGATCAAAATTGTGATTCGGACAACCGATAATCGGCATACAAAAGTGCAGCGGGAAACCACAAGCTCGGTTCTTCACTCGCGAATAATACTACGAGGGCAACACAGGTCGATTGCTCACTCAGGTCTCTAATCTTGACACAAATGTAAAGTAGCATAAACACATCTCATGCCCCCAATGCATTTTTTTAGATTATTATGTTCTGGTTAGGGTTCACAAACAATGTAATTGCATCAATGAGAAAATAATGTAGTGAAAAAGGTACTTCTCAATGACGAAAATAAAAATTATCATTATTGCATACCAAATTGAAATAAATTCTTGTCCATCGCATACAAAATTTTGTGATTTAGTTATGAAAGTAACCGATGTCATAAAAATATAATTTTTGTGACAAAAATAATATTTATTATTTTTACTTGGTAAAATATTATACACATTATTAAGTCATGGTTAAAAAAATCATAGCAGAATATAAAATTTCATGGAGCGATTGTTGCATGTTTTTTTTCAGCTTAATTTTTTCGGATATAACCAAGTTTAAAGTATTTCTTAAAGAACAGAAAGACTATGATATCAACCAACTTGGAACGGTTTTATCCCCATACAAAGAGTATGATAATCAACTACATATGAAATTTTCACACATTAGTTGTTCTTGGTTAACTCGCCAAGAAAATATCAATATTACACGTAATTGAAATATTATTGCTATTTACAATCATTTATTAGATAGCTAGGTTAGGCAAGCTCGATGGAGCCTCCAAATACAGCTCAAAGAATTAATTTATGTATATATTCTCTATCAATTTTCAAAACCAGCAAATACGTACACTATCTTAGATAATGGCGGCAGAACGAAATCCACCGCCACCGGAGTTGGTGCACCAGCAGCTCCGTTCTCTAGACGACACAATCGAGCAATATTTGGGTGGTTTCGGGTGGCAACAGTTTCTCCAATCCTCCTTAGTGTCGTTTGCATGGTTTTTTGACGCGCAACAAACTTTTGTCGCTGTTTTTGCTGACAAGGAACCTAAATGGAGCTGCACGAACCACAACAATAGTGGCTTTCCATGCGAAAACACGACTAATGTTGACTTGTTGTGCAAGCTTCTGAGGAACTCATCACTATCCTGGGAATCTCCCGTGCACGTGTCCACTGTATCCGAGTGGTCCCTCCTATGCGCTACCCCCCTCATGAGAGGCCTGCCTTCGTCATCCTTCCTGTTGGGCTGCCTTGTTGGCGGGCTCCTGTTGGCCACTCTGGCGGATTCGAAAATGGGCCGAAAAAACATGTTGATCCTATCCTCCTTAATCATGTCGGTTTTCGGGGGGCTGACTGCTATTTCTAGAAATATTTGGATGTACGCTGGATTTCGATTCCTAAGTGGGCTCGGACGGTCCACGGTTGGGACATGCGCGTTTGTCCTTGCAAGCGAGATGGTTGGGAAAAAGTGGAGGGGCAAAATCGGGATAATGGGTTTTTCGTGTTTCACGTTAGGGTTCTTGTCTCTCCCGCTCGTAGCTTTTCTGCTGAGAGGATCCTCGTGGAGGTTAATATATGTCTACACGAGTTGTCCGTGTGTTGTTTACTCTCTACTAGTGTATATCGTCGCCCACGAATCTCCGAGATGGCTTTTCGTCAAGGGAAGAAGAGAAGAATTTACTAAAACTATTGAAAACTTAACGAATGCCACTTCTCTCGGAGAATGTCGTGTGGTGTGGACGGAAAAAGTCACGGACGACAGGAGTACTAATCCCTTTTATTCCGTGCTAAAGATGTTAGTTAGTAAAAAATGGGCCTTAAAGCGTCTACTAGTGTTGATGATTGTGGCTTTTGGCAACGGCATGGCCTACTTTGGAAGCCCACTGGGCCTCGATGGCTTGCCCTTCAACCTCTACATGAGTGTCACACTAAATGCCGTGTTCGAGCTGTTGGCTGCGTGGATCATGGTTTTCGCTATAGGGAAGTTGAAAAGGAAAAATTGGTTGGTCGGGTTATCTTTATTTAGTGGGGTGTGTGGCGTGGTGGGTGTTTTCGTACGGTTGAACGGAATTCGGATAGGGTTGGAATTGGCATACTTTTTTGGCATGTGCATGGCGTATGATGTTTTCATGATCTATGCGTCGGAGTTGTTCCCAACGTGCGTTAGGAACTCGGCATTGTCGATGGTGAGGGAAGCGGGCTTGGTCGGTGGGCTTTTAGGCCCGATGCTTGTGGCATTTGGGAGAAGGGTAAATGGGGTGTTATGCTATGCCGTGTTTGGGTTAACCGTATCATTAACCGCATTGTTTGCGGTCCTTCTGCCCGAGACTAACGGGAGGACGTTAAGTGATACAATGGAGGAAGAAGAGGAAACCGAGTACCTACAGTGAGGTCAATATTTTGTGTCACTTGTTAAACTCTATGATTTTTGAGAACTTTGTTTTGAACGTAATTAATGTGGCAATTAATACTGAGACTTATTCGAGTGTAAAACACTTATATGATCATTCATCTTAATCTGTGAGTTGTAAGATATAATCAGGATAATGATTGTTAATTTTTTAATTGAGGCCCTGCTACAATTGGTCTCATATATATATATATATCAAAGCCAGATGCTAATTAGTAATTATCTGCTGAATATTTTCTTACATTTATTGTATGATGATTCAATGCAGCTTATTGAACACAAATACAGTTTTAAGGTTGATTGGGAAAATATTATGTCTACCTGGTAGAAAAATGATGGGATGTCAAATAAGTTTTGTCAATAAGATTGCCCTCTTTGGATTATGAGCTCCGAATTGAGTTACCATATAATATGTTGAATACGTGTACAAATTTTAACAATCATTAGCTGAATATGAATTTGCTAGCTAGTAGCATATCTCAAATTAAGTAAATAAATTTAAGCGAATGACTACAGTCTCATTATAAAATCATTCCGACAGTATTTTTAGCGATAAATTATCAACCGTATAGTAATCCACATGTATCTACGATTAAAAACACCAATGGAATGATTCCGACGATTAAAAAACACCAACGGAATGATTCCGTAACGGGATTGTAGTCATTCTCACAAATTTAATTCTAATAACTCCAATGGTGCGTAGAGGTGGGAATAAATTGAATTTTCCGTATCGATATATTTAAAACATTGTTGGTATTGTTGGTTCAATGAAGAACGTCGGCCTAAGTGCACATTCAAATACTTATCAAATTGAAGGAAAAACAAGTTTTTTGGTCCTTTATCTGCAGGCCGTTTTCAATTTGATTCCGTAAGTGGACTGTTTTTGGAAATAGTCCCCTAACTGAAAAAAAATTAGTTTTTTGGTCCTCTGACCGCCTATATCAGGTCACTATGACCGGCTGAGCTACGTGGAAATTCGCCTAATTTTTTTTATTTTTTTTTGCTGAGTTGTAATACCACGTGGCGCTTATGTGGAATAGTTAAAAAAATGTGCTAAGAAGGAGATTCGAACCCAGGACCAATGGGGCATAAAAAGAGCTCATGAACCACTTGAGCTAGCACCCATTATGTTAATTATTTAGTTTCAATTATATATCTACCAACATAGTATACATATATATATATTATTCAATTTGTACTACTTTTAATAATAAAAAATTATGCATATATTTTAAATTCATTTAATTTTATTAATATATTTAATAAATATTTACTAATGAGTAAATATTATAAATAAATTATTAAATATATAATAAATAATTAAATATATTAAATAATATAATATTATGTACTTTTAAAAATATTACATATTATAATAATATTTATAAAAATATTATAAAAATATTACATATTATGATTTTATTATTTAGTAAATAATAAATAATAAAATAATACAAAAAAATTAATAAATAAATATTTACAAAATAAATATATAATTGAATAATATAAAATAATATATAAATATATTCAATAATATATTCAATAAAAATATTAAATATTATAATTAAATTTTATTTGTATTTTAATTAAATATTTAAAAAAAAATAAATATACTAAATAATATAATAAATAATAATGTTTACCAAATTAATAAATATATTAAATAATATAATAAATAAAAATATCAAAAAATATGATACGATTTATATATATTTTTTATTATTTATTATAGAATATATTTATTTATTATATTTTTTATTTTATATTTATTTAATATATATATTTATTGTAAATAATATATATATTTATTTTAAATAATATATAT